TGGCTCAAGGCCACTGAGCACATTTATAAGCATGGCAAAGATCCACAATCCTGTGGTCTCGAAACGAGAATTCCCTCATAGTCCACACAGTCACAGAGGTGGTGAGCCCAGGAGATCACTTCTGACCATCACTCTCCCCATCACTACGTCAACAAAAAAAAGCACACAATGAACTGACTCAAAACGGTCCGGGCTCATCCAGCCAGCAGCACGGATTCCCTCATTTGTGAGCTAGTGGCAAGGAGAGAATTCTGGATAATTACAGAAAAGTTCTGAATTAAGTACTGTGGGCAACCATTCTGATGAGCGTCGGTTGGACACATCTACACCCGGTATTATTTTTATGTTTTAAGTCCAATGGCAACAGGTGCTCAGTGATAACGCGATCTCTGAAAGGCTGGTGCCAAATTTAGGGTAAGTAGATGTCTAGACAAATCGGAGGGGGGTGTGGGGGGAGCTCAAGTTTTATCTCCTCTGCTACAAGCCAACTTTCGAGCCTTGGGGGTGGTCCCTAAAACACTCACATCTATCTGTCCATTCATTTTAACGTAAAGTTACAATAATGGTGCAGAGATATCATCTTCCCTGAGCCATCTGAGAGCCCCTCCTATCTACACGATGTTCCAACAAACCTAAATGCTCAGTGTATATTTCTACAAATAAGGACATTCTCCTGCACAACCACAATATAACCACCAAATGAGGAAGTTAACGTCAATACAATATTATTGCCCAATTCTGATCCCATTCAAGTTTTGCTAGTAAGTTTTTCGCCTCTAAAATAAAGGACTGGATATCAATAAAATCCCCTCTAATATTCTAACTGCCTGTCTCGGCAATGGAATTCTATCACAATGCCCACTCACTAAACCCGGGTATCCAACTTGGATTTGGATTCAAACTTGAGTTGAAATCCCATCTCTGCCTCACACCAGGACCAGCAGTAGTATGTTCCTGAGGAAGTCACTTCACCACCCAAAGTCAATCCCAGTCAATCTAAGAGCCTTGTGAATTTCACCCATGGGAACTACCCCCTCCCTGTCTAAAAGCATGAGCTCAAAAGGGTCCAAGGGCTATTTTACAATTAGTTAGCATCAGAGAGCCTCCCTCTGCTCCCAGGTCTGGCCTGGAATCCTGCGCTTGAAATCGAGTTTGGCCTGAAATCAGAGGTGGGAGTCTGGGTGCTAATCACTGGTATGGTGCTAACCACTGGTATGGTGCTAACTGACCCAGGTATGGTCACATTGGGACAAATGCTAAGGGAACAACTGTGGGGGGTGGGTCACTTCTAGCTCCACACTCCCCAGGGAAGTGGTCAGCAATGAACACATGTGCCGTGGAACAAACCCTCCCGAGGAGGTTGCTGGTAGCTTCTAGATGGAACTGTATCGTTTTGGGTAACCCAAGGCAGCACAGGGACTTAAGCGAACCACTGAGAACAGAGTTAACCTCTGGGGCTTTGCTGGGTCCCAGCTGCTCCCATGAAGCTTTAACAAAAACTGTTCTTCAGTAGTCTGAGGGAAAATCTTTGAAAAATACCTCCCTGGAAGCAGCTTCCCCATCTCAAAAGATGTAGCACGGTGCTTTAAAACACCTAACCCGCATGATTTAATAAGCGAGGCAGCAATGTCAAGGCCAGACTGCAGACCAGCAATGCTCCTCACCACTGAGCAAAGAGCTGCATGGTTTGAGCCCTTCAGAATATCAAGCGGGCTCGGCCAGGAAGAAAGGGTTCTTAACAATTGCCCCTTGTTATCTGAGGAAAAGTTCTCTTTGACTATTCATGGTCAAAAGTTGAGTATGAGAGGGGATCCGGTATCTAAATGTTTTGCTCATGTGCAAATAAGAGCTCATAGTGTTTTAGTCAATTATAAATTATTAAAGGAAAAGAAAGAATGTTAATCCTTTCCTAACAGATATCTTTTTGTCAAAGGTACTGCTTTTTGGAAAGTTAACCTAATGAACTATTGCATGTGATTAAATTGAATTTTCCACTGACCTCAACAGAGCAACTGAGTGTAAGAAAGCAGGAGGGAACTCCACAGAGTTCCAGTTCTCTGCAGCAGAGATGTAAACACATTTATAACACCATGACTTTGCTGAGGAGTCCAGTGCTATTTTGTTCCAAACCAGGCACCTGCCAGGGAAACCTTACTCTGGGGCTTGAGGCATCAGGCGGATTTCCATAGCGTAAAAAAATCACAAAGGTGGATGACACCACGAGGAACCACTGGAAGCCTGACACAATGCCAGGTAGTTTTCCACATAATTTTCACTCCTTCTAATACACCCTGGAGAGAATTTCTGCCGGCTGCATCACCAACTAAAATCACACTGTAACTGTGACAGCATGCTGGTGACAACACTTTAAGCAGGGAGCCACAGACATTTGGCTCCAATCTTTTTAGCCATGGGGACGAGTGGGAAGCAGGACGGGCCTCGGGTTTTCTCACCTTCCTTGACAATGATGCCGTGGCAGGCCCCGGCTGTGGGGAATTAAGAAGTCCCTCCACCGTGGGGATTTCTTGCCGGGGAGCCTCCCTTCCCTTTGGTACTGCTCAAGAGGGCAGTGGAAAACTCAGGCTGGAATACCAACGTCTCTCTTGGTGCAACGAAAGCAAGGCTTCGGGGCAGCATGGTGAACACAAAATAAAGATACACAAAAATGGGTGGGGGGAGCATCCCTCCACAGATACTGATGTTGGAAATATAATTTTGTGTTTTTACAACATGTAACGCTTAGCACAAATGTGTCCAAGCAGATGCGCGCCTGAACTGTGACTGAGGCCTGGTGGGGAGCTGTCACCTTCCAGAAGAGGAGCACGCGTTCCTCAGGCAGCTCTCGAGAGCCAAGGGGAAAAAGTTAAAGAAGAGCAAACTCCGATTCTATTTAAGGGAGAGCTTTCGAGCAATCTGTGTTCTCCAAAAATGGAACTGGCTGACTGTCGAGGTAGAAGTGTTCTGGCAGAGCTGGTGGCCATCTGTCAGGGGCGGGGCAGTGGCCCAGCACCCAGCTCCACGAGGGGCTGGTGGAGTGAGGCTCTTCTATGTGAGAGCCCACAGTACCCGCAGCACCCAGCACCCAGCTCTGGGAAGGGCTGATGGAGTGAGGCTCCTCTATGCTGAGAGCCTATAGTACCTTCAGCACCCAGCACTCAGCACCCGGCTCCGGGAGGGGCTGGTGGAGTGAGGCTCTTCTATGCTGAGAGCCCACAGTACCCCCAGCACCCAGTACCCAACACCCTGCTCTGGGAGGGGCTGGTGGAGTGAGCTCCTCTATGCCGAGAGCCCACAGTTTCTCAGCACACCAACCGGATTACAGCTCGAGAAAAAGTAGACATAGAGTGAGACATCTGGTTAATGGTTTCAATTTGAGGCTTTGCCTTTTCTCCTTCTTCCAAGTGAAAGGAAAAAAAAAATGACAAGGTATTCCAGGGAATTTCTAGATAGTTCAGAATGCTTGCTTCGTCTTATTTCCCTTCCGATCATCTCATTCAATTTCTCAGTATTTCATTCTTTACTATAATACCAAGAATACATTTTTTAAAAAATGGATTAGAAAGAAAACAAAACAAGTCAAGGATGTTTAACAGCTCCCAAAGAAGGTACGTTGGTGGGCGAGAGGCTGAAATTGGAAAAAATAAATAAAATTAAGCTCAGGTGTTTAATCTGTTCATGCTAACTGCATTTCTACCACAGTTAATGAAGAGTTATAGGTAAAGGACAACAACGTTTCTTTCAAGTGACCTGCCTGGGAAAAAAATTTTAGGGGTATCAGGTTAATGGAAAAAGAATCAGACTGCTCATGCAAAATGAAATTTCTACATCAGCCTCAGACTCTGTGATAGCTGGCATGATTCATACTCAGGCCTGTGTCTCATTTCTCTTTCCACGTCACAAAAATAACCTAAGCCCTAACACAAAAACACTACCCAATAAATGAAGTCTTTCAGTGGATCTGAAGAGAGACTGAGCAGACCCTCCAAGACTGCATGAAATTTTAGACGAATATTTCCCAACGCCCACTACATTCGGTGTATCATTTTCTTTCTAGCTTTCCCACCTGCTCCCTTCCCACCCCAAATGAAACAAATCCTCCTGTTACAAAGAAAAAGGGAAAAGTGAAGTAAATGTAACACAGGTGATAATACTGACTTATTTCATAGCAAACTCTTAAGTGATGACCAGCAGCCTCAGGTACGACCCGCATTAGACTCATACAAGGAGTAACACTAACTTTTGTAAATGGCGGCGGGGCTCATCATTTTTCGGCAAGGCCCTCAGTTACTGCCACACATCATCTGCAGCAGTCACTACTGTAAATATATCAGGTATGCGCACTAAGACAAGGGGGACACCATTAACCCGAGGTGATTCAAGGTGGTCTGGGTCACATTGGGATACAGAGCACGTGGGAAGAAAACCGGGTGACAAACCCACTGGGTTGAGGTACCATTGGTCCCCACCTGAGTGACGGCTGTCGGCCTCTGGCATCACACTGGGGCGTGCCCATGGCCACCTGAGCTAACACTGGCCAGGACTGTGGTATGGGCATCATCGGTCCAGGAGAGGAGGAAAAACCCACCCGGTTCAAAGAGCTCTTCGCTCCTTCCCACTCTATGCATGAAGGCGCATGGACAGGGCTGTGTGAGACACAGAAGACCTGATGCAGTGATGCGGGCAGAGTGGCTGGCATTTTTGGAGGTGGTAATTCCCCATGAGGAACCTCCAGAAAATGGATGCCAGGAGACAGAGACACATGCAGGGGCCCCTACCACACAGAAGGGTCAACCTCCATAAGACTCGAGACGCCAAAATCTCCAGGAAATGACAAGCATGGTATCTCTCCAAAGACAATTAGAAAGATGTCAACTTTAAACACACACACATGAACTAGAAGGATGAACGCTCTCCCCTCCAAAAACGCCAGGCTTCTTCGCCTTGCCTAACAGGAAGTAGTTGAGCTCTAATCCGGGTCCTCTGGCGTGGGGCGCACTCACCTAGCGTGTCCTTCAGGTTCTTCACCAGGGAGCCCTTCTTCAGGCTGTTCTTCCTCTCCACATAGTTGGACGGCACGTAGCCCGTCCGGTTGGCCGCATTCCTCACCCGCCACCACGTCTTGGAGTCGTCCAGCAGCCATAGGCGCTCGTTCTTCTTGATGTCCAGCTCCTGGTCCTGTTGGGCTGTGTAGTCCCACTTCGCTATCACAATAACTTCTTCTGTCATCTTTCATGGAGTCCTTCTGCCAGCAAAACATTTGGAGACGTTCATTAGAGAACCAACCAAACACTTCACCCTGTGCACTTGAAAAACTTGAAAAATTATGCACTGACAGCTTTTAGTACAACTTGGCAACCGGTTTCCTCCTGGGTCTCGAAATGACCTTGAGATGACCTTCTTTCAGCACGCTTTAGTATTCTGTTTAGAGACGGCAACTTAAGAAAACAAATCCTCATTTTGTACACTGGGAAATCTGCCTGCTGGGCCAAAACCGAAAACGAACTTTCCAAAAATTCTAAGTAACGATGTCATAATTAAATGTGTTCACTTGATTAAGTAACAGCAGCTCCTTGTAGCTATGTTTATAGCCATGTCTCAAGATCTGCTGAATTTTACGAGTGCACTTAATGTACACACGCACCCAAACTGCTCTTATAAATTAAAACTAAAATAAATGTGGTATCCTGGACGGGCTCCTGAAACAAAAAGGAAATCAGTGGAAACAACAGTGAAATCTGAACAAGATGTTGTTAATAGTAACACATACCAGTGTTTGTCCCTTAGTTTTGACAAATGTACCATGGCTGTGGGAGATGTTAGCACTAGACAGCAAACTGAGGAAAGGATATATGAGAATGCTCTGCATTATCTTTGCAACTTTTCCATACATATGAAATTACTCTTGAGGGGTACCTGGGGGGCTCAGTCGGTTAAGTATCTGCCTTCGGCTCAGGTCATGATCTCAGGGTCCTGGGATCGAGGCCTGAATCAGGCTCCCTGCTCAGTGGGGAGTCTGCTTCTCCCTCGGCCTTTGCCCCTTCCCCTACTCCTCTCTTTCTCAAATAAATAAAATATACTCCTCTCTTTCTCAAATAAATAAAATATTTAACAAAATAAAATAATAAAATAAAATGACTCTTGAAACCTGGGCACTCATAACCGGCAAAATTTGGAAGTGATCAAGATGTCCTTCAGGAGGTGAATGAATAAACTGTGGTACATCCAGGTAATGGAATGTTACTCAGTGATAAAAAGAAATGAGTTATCAAGCCATGGAAAGGCACTGCTAAGTAAAGAAGCCACTCTATAAAGGCTACCCCAGTCTCATTCTCACAAAGACCCTTTCTTTGACCAAACTTTAGTCAGGCCCCTCTGAATCCTCTTCCCAGACTAGGCCTCAACCTCTACACTTCCACATTTGTCTCTGCGTGTCCCAATTTTACCAAGAATCCTGCCAAGCTGGTTTAGCCAGAATCCTCCACTCTTACCCAGGTGATGCCCCATTGCCTGCCTTACCTTCAGGAAGACTCCTGTCAGGTTAGTTTACTCAGAACCCCTCCTGTTTCCTCTCAGTAACCCCATTCAACTATGGCCTACCTTACTCCTTGGCTATGAACTGCCATTTTTCCTTCTTGTATTTAGAATTGAGCCCAAATGTAACTCCCTTGCAGTAATGCCTCTCAGTAACTTCTGCTTCAGCCTTCTTCTTTTTTTTTAAAATTAATTAATTAATTAATTATTTGACAGGCAGAGATCATAAACAGGCAGAGAGGCAGGCAGAGAGAGAGGAGGAAGCAGGCTCCCTGCTGAGCAGAGAGCCCGATGCGGGGCTTCATCTCGGGACCCCGGGACCATGACCCGAGCCGAAGGCAGAGGCTTTAACCCACTTAGTCACCCAAGCACCCCTGCTTCACCCTTCTTTAACAAGTGTCACGAATATTTTTTCTCTTTACCGATGCCAACTCTATGACATTCTGGAAAAAGCAAAGCAATGGAGATAGTAAAAAGATCAGCAGTTGCCGGGGCAAGGGAGGCACGTGGGATGAACAGGTGGAGCGTAAGATTTTTAAAGGAGTGAAACCGCTCTGTATGATACTTTAATAGTGGATACACGTCATTATACACTTGTCGAGACCCATAAAACAGTCTACACCAAGAGTGAATCATCCCAAAATATAAAGTTTATTAAAACCAGAAATAAATATAGTATATTATATATCTAGTTAAGACAGTTCTGGAAGTAATAAATAACGGAGGCATAGCTGAATGACTGAAATGAATATAGTTATCAACTGTGTCAGCAGCTCCATACTTTTTGGGTACAAGATGGCCCAGTATTTCTTCCGGCAAAAAATTCGAAATTCAGTCCTTCGACTGACTGCATTTCCTTAAAACTTGGAAGGAAGGGATAACAGAAAGACTATTGACTAAAACTCTCTTCCCCTCTGACAGAGACAATTCCTCATCCCTTTCTAGGGATGACTTTAGAATTATAGAGGGAATCATGTGCATTGGCTCCATGGAGGCATGAACACCATTTTTAAGTAACATGACACTTTCTACTGGATGCTAAGGCGACTTATAAATAATACATGTTCTCCTGTTTCTTGAATTAACTTCCAAATTTAGAGATAACAAACCTTTCGGGAAGGAGGAAATATTTAATAAACCTTATGCATAATGTATGCAACATCCAAGAGGACAGAGTTTCACACAACGCTCATTTCCAAGCTGCAGACCATTTTGTTACATACTTTTGGGAAATCTCCAGGCCCTACTATGTATTTCTCTCTCTCCTGACCTTTCTGTCAGGGTTAAACTTTTCAAAGTCATAAAGGCGGTTTTTCTTTCCTTTCTTTCTTTTCTTTTTTTAAATAATAATGAGAGCAGTAATAGGATTGAGGATCAGAGAATATCCCATTTGAATACCAGGTTTGTTTCTTAATTACACAGTTTTCAAGAGAGTTCTTAACAAGACCAGCCCATCACACAAGACCAATCAGAGCAATTTATTACTTTCCGGCGTGATTTAACCGCATGAACAGCAGTCAAGTATGGAGCTAGCTTGGCAGAGTACACTAACATCACCAAGAGCTTAAACATGTGTGGTGCCAGGGCTCTAACACAGGCCAATGGTATCAGAATCTGGAGGAGTGAGGTCTGAGCATCAGGTTTTTACAGTTCATCTTTCTGGCAGGTCTTAGAAGGGAAAAACCAAGTAAGAGAGAACTGAGTCACCAAACGCCACCTCAGGATACTTTCCTTGGGTCATCAGACTACGGATGATTCACAAGAACTCTGAATGCGTGATGGGTACCTGACACAGCTCAATTCGTTTAATCTCCAGAACACCCACCTTCCAGGAAGTTGGTATGTTTTAGGAGACTGAAGATCACAGAGATTAAGTGATGGGTGTAATAACAGAATCAGGATCTGAGCCCCGGGTCTGTCGACTCCCAAATTATGCTCATGTGCCCCCTTTCGGGGTGGGTGGCTGGGTGAGGGTCTAATGTGTGCTCTGCATTTTGATGGGCTTATTCCAATCCAGGAAATCTAGGATTCTAGACGAGGTGAAAATCAAAAGCTCCCTCGCACCTAGAAAATGATAGCAATGGGTTTCAAACCTATTCTAATTGACTTACGACAGCTTCCCATCACTACAAAAACTTCACAAGGTCAGCCAATCAACAGGTGCTTTGTCCCAGTGCTTCAGACGGTAGCCAATCAACAACCACCTCACCCCAAAGGTAATGGAATCCACCAATCAATAAACGCCTTACTCCAGGGTTTCTGAGTGTTAGCCAATCAACAGCAGTCCCAATGGAAAGACGAGATGGGAGTAATAGCAGGGGCGAGGGAAGGAGGTGATGCTGAATCAGGTGCATGGCAGGAAACCGGCATGTGGGGAAAAGGGAAAGGAGGCTGATTTCAGTCTTAGAAGATGGGTGGGTGGGTGGTCAGTGGAGTCAGAGGGGGGCTCTCCAGGATAGAAAGATCTAAGCAAAACAATTAAGAATACTAAGCAAGAGAATTAAGAATAATGATTCCAGAAAATCATTTAAAATAAAAAGTGAGCAGAATGTTATCTCTGGATATCTTTTTTTTTTTTTTTTAACGTTTTTAATTCCAGTTAGTTAACAGACAGCATAACAGTAGTTTCAGGTGTATGATACAGTGATTTGAAAATTCCAAAGAACACCCAGTGCTCATGACAAATGCCCTCCTTAATCCCCATCTCCTATTTCATCCATCCCCCCACCTACCTCCCCTCTGGTAACCATCAGTGTGTTCTCTATAGTCAAGAATCGGCTTCTTGGTTTGTCTTTCTTTTTTCCCTTTTGCCTGTTTCTTTTGTGAAATCACCTGGTATTTGTCTTCCTCTGACTTATTTCACTTAGCATTATACTCTCTAGATCCAGCCATGTTATTGCAAACGGCACGATTTCACTTTTTATGGCTGAGTAATATTCCATTGTATATGTATACCACATCTTCCTTATCCATTCATCAGCTGAAGGGACACTTGGGCTGCTTCCATAAGCTGGCTACTATAAAGCTGCTCTAAACCTAGAGGTGCATGTATCCCTCTGAATTAGTGTTTCTCTATTCTTGGGTTAATACCCAGTTGTGTGATTGCTGAATCACATGGTACTTCTATTTTCAACTTTTTGAGGAACCTCCATACTGTTTTCCACAGTGGCTGCACCAGCTTGCATTCCCACCAGCAGTGCAAGAGAGCTCCTTTGGGTGACCTCTGGTTTTGTTTTGTGTTTTTTGTTTGTTTGTTTTTAAGCCATTTCAGTGTGAAGTTCTGTACCTTTCCCCCACCCCGCACATGACCCTGTAGCCCAGCAGAGGTTTCATTTTCCTTCACTTTGCCAACACAGGTCAGAAAAGCCACCTGGAGGCCCATCTGGAGGCAACTCCAGGTTGGCCAAGAGTTCAAATCCCATCCCTTTGGCTCAGGGGCTCAACAGGAGGCCACGTTCTTTCAGTTGCTATAGTGTGTGGGATAAATTGGAATAGAAAGAAATGCAGCTGAATCAAGATTATTCCATACCAAAATTAGATTTAATTTTCTAATAGCAAGAAGCCTTAACAGAACAAAGTCTGAAAAAGTACACTCTAACTGCTGAATGTTAAGTGAGACAGTATTTTGATTTAGTCTAAGTATCAGAGGTCAGCACCCAAAAAGTAGGCACGTTTATCACTTCAGCTTAGGAGGTTCAAGAAATCTCATTT